CGGCCACCCCCCGTGCCTCGTGCTGCACAGCCCAGGTCTGCAGCCGGGGAACACAACTGGTGTCCCACACAGCCCAGTCTGCTCCTTCCAAACCTAAAACAGCCACCAAGGGAACAGTGGTGAAGTGCTTTGAGATCCTCTGTTGAAACGTGCTGAAGAAAGGCAAAGGACCGTACCCGCTCAGCCATTACTGCTTCTTAGTTCTTGAACTTAAGCTCGTCCTATTGCAGGAGTAATTAACCGTGCAACAATTAGTGTTCTTGAGGTATGATCCTGGCTATGCCATGTTGTGTATGGGTTACAATATTCAGGAAGAAACAGAGTTCATGGGATTTTTGAGTGTTTTGGCTCCTGAAGGATGCAAGTTGGCTCAGATGCTGTTAGAGAAGAGGAGATGAAAGGTTCCTTAGCGCAGCGCTGCGTCCTTCCCTACCAGCAGCCTCCTCTTGGCCAGCAAGAGAAAGCAGGGCTTGACATTTTACTGTCTCCCACTCAACTCTGGCTAATGAAGAGCATGATGTCGAGATAGCTAGGTAGAACAAGAGCCTATGAAATAGCTCCTGATCAAAGTATAGACTGAAACCTTAAAGGTTGAGGATGGAATAAGCAGCTTGTAAGGTGAATTTCCATGGCTTTATGTAGGCAAATGTGAGCGTGTCCTGTGTATGTTTTGTATTAACCCTGGCAAGGTGCAGTGTCCGTGTCCTGCTGTCATAACTGGCTCTGTCTGCACGTCTCCACGTGGGCTGCCTGTGAGTCAAGAGCAAGCTCCGAAATCTTCAAGTGCTACTGGAGTCATCTTGTAACCTCAAATAGAAGAGACGCTTTGAAAAAAAGAACTAGAAGGGGAAAAAAGAGGCAGTTTTAAATCTTTCTAATTGTTTTCTTCTGAGCTGAGAAATCCGAAAGATTCCAAGTGACGTTGCCTAGCACTAAAAAAAGACATGATTTAACTGACAGCGCAGCATCTCTCTTTACCAGTTTTGTCTAGCCAAATTATAAACCCTGGAGTTTTCTTTTTCTCCTTCTGAACAGATTTCCACAACCCCCACCCTGCCGAGCGATCTCGCTCCACAGCTGCAGCCTTTCTGTTCTGCCACAGTGCAGAATAATGCATGAACCAGCAGAAGGAGCTCCAGGTCTGGTCAATGGTGTAGAGCTGCTTTCTTACGCCTTGGAAAGGCAGCGTGGCAGCTGTGTCCAGGAATCATTACTTTCCTATCGATTCTTTCCCTCGGTGCTTTGAATTCCCTTCGCCGAGCAGCCCAAAATTGCATTTTGAAAGAGCTTCGCTCGTTTCTTTCTGTTGAATTGCGGTGGAGTTACGCCTTTGCATATTAAAAAAAAAATATAAATAAACCCCTCAAGAGACAATTTTGCACAACGGCCCCGAGTTCTGATGAGGGAACAAACCACTTTAGAGCAGAACAGAAAAATACCCACCTGTCATGCTTTTTCCCAGAATTGCTCTTTCTCAGGATTTGAAGATGTGCAGATTAGGGGAACGTCCCTCCTCCCCCCCTCAGTTCCTGTGGTCCACCTTGTCAAGAATGTGGGTTTGTCCATTAAAAAAAAAAAAAAACAAACAGCCATTTTTGGGGCACCTCAAGGTATTGCAAAGTGCTGTATCACAGTTTCATAGGAAAATGTGTTCTTAGGGAATTATGATCCTGACTTGCCAGAGCACCAGTGTTTGTATTTGCATGCCCGGGAATTCTGCATGCCATTGAGATCCGCGGTCTTGATCGTTCAGGCCATGGAGGCCGTTTGATAAATATGATAAATATGCAAAATTTCAGCCGCTTATTCAAGTAGAACCAGCCAGGAGCTTTTGACGTTCATCCAGCTTAGATATTAATGCCCACAGCCTCCATCCTCGAGCAGGGCCACGCAAACAACTTTGAGAATATGGGTCTGAGCTTGGTTAGAGGGAAGCGACAGTGCGTGCATGGGTATGTTTGAAGTGAGGAGAGATGTTTTTCAGGAGTTGGGATCAGAAGGGCTATTTTGGGAAAGAACTGAATGGCGTTTGCTAGTGATCTGGCCAGGGGAGTCTGCCTTTTTCTCTTTTGGAGAAGACAGACCATGGATTACATTCTTTGCAGTGTAACTCCATCAATGTCAGCGGGCCTCAGCCAGACTGTCCTTTTTCTACATCTTCAGCCTTCCAAGTGCATAACGTTTTGCTGATCCAGGAGATTTCTTAGCATTTCTGTATCATGATTAAAATACATCAGTTCACCCTCCATAAATTGGTTTGGAGACAATAAAGAGCTCAGTCCAGCTCAGCATGGCAGACCAGATCCATCGCAAGGCTGATTGCTGCTCTGCGGTCACAGGATGCAAAAGACAATGGGCCATGTCATTAAAGCCATGGGGTTTTAAGGTCTTCCAAAGCTGGAAACAATTGCTCTATGTCCCTTAGAAGCAGCTTTAGGTTCATGGCTCTTTTGTGTTGTAGAACATTAATTAGTAATCTTGGTAGCATATGGCCTGTTTGCCTTTGAAGTAATTCCTGGTCCTGCAGGTCAGTTGAAGATCCAAACCAGTTCCCAGACAGATTTCCCACCCCTAGCCCTGTGAGGGACCTGTACCAGATCCTCACCTCCCCACAGGCTCTAAAATTCCGCACCAGTCTCTGCTGTGAAAAGTGGCCAAGGCACTAAAGACTGGTAGCCTCCAGGAGAACGTCTACACTCTCATTCAAGGTTCAGGGCTAGAGTTTGCCCTCCAGAGCAGACTCTGCAGCTGATTACACTGCCCACATGTTGAGCTGCCTTCCAACAAGGCAACTCAGAGCAGGACAGTGGGAAGAGAAGGGATGGAAAAGGTAGGGCAGAGAGGAGCTCAAGCCCATGCTCTACCTTTGTGGGACTTCATTGACTTAAGTCACATGGAGTGGTAAATTCCAATTGCTGGTTGGGGCCTGCCAACAGGGATGGTCGAGTTGTCTGAGGTGTCCTATACCTGACCCTGTTCCAGGTTTGACCCCAGGACAGCAAGGGCTGTGGGGCTGAACTCTGCTCTGCGGGCTTTCTCTGGGAGAGAGGAGCTTGGGAAGGACAGAGTAGAAAACTCGTTGATGAGTAACTCCATTCCAGCGTGCAGATACAAATGCAGAACATCTCCAGGTTGTTCCTTTCAAATAAGTTTGAAATATTAAGTGTGATGAATTTGTTAAAGGTCCACTGTAAGGAGAAAGGTCTTCGTTACTCCCTACAGTGGACAGCATGATTTGAGGGTATTTGCTGTAAAGAAGGAGAAATCAGTTAGACATAGTCAAGATGATGTCTCCATTTGGTCTGAACCTTCTGTGGATTTTAACCACCCTTGATTGGTAAATTCTACCACAAAGGGGAAGCGAATCAATTCTCTTTCCTAAAGCCTTAGCTTTGGATCTAAAAGAGGTCCCGAATTATACTGCGGCAACACATAAAAGTTGTCAGATGAGCTCCGTGAGTGCAATTTGTGGGGCTTTTCCCTTTTGTCTGTAAGTACCTGATGTGTGCAGCCGTCCTGTGCCCGGGCCGGCCGGTGCCCGTCCTGCAGAGCGTGTGTTTGTGTGTGGGCAGGGACCGCTAACCCAATGCAAAGAGTCGCATTTCTTGTGCACACCTTGCTGTGGTACCTGGGTGCTAATCACCGTATTTTGCCTTCTCTAGCACCTTCCCAGCCGAGGATCTCAAAGTGTTTTACAAACATTAATTAATTTAGCTTCACAACCCTGGTGTGAGGTAGGTGGGTGATGCCATCCCGCTGTCCAGACGAGGACACTGATCTACTTGGGTAGTCGCCTCGCTCCTGCGGTTAAAACCAGGCGAGGCCCTTGTGAAGCCTTGCCACCCGTCCTGCCCTCCCCGCAGAAGGAAGAGCAGCTCTGCCTGCAGCAGAGGGGATCCAGAGATGGCCAGAGCTCACAGCAACCTGCTTCAGAGCCCTGCTCCTCCCTCCTTCCTGCCCTTACTCTGGAGTGGTGGTTTCCAGCTGATCACGCTGCCCTGCTTATCCCTCCTCAGGGGTGTTGTGGGGAAGGAAATACACAAGTAGCAAAATTCCTGGTCCCTGTAGGCTACGCTTCGGTGGTGACTTGTCTCCCTTCTGTTCCACCTCCTTTCGCCCAGAGCCACCCTTCCTGCACCATCCTTGACACTGGGGTGTGTAGGTCCCAGCTTGCTGAAGCCCCCCCTCTCCACGGGAGAGCTGTAAGGGCAGTGTCCCCTCACCCCGGTCTCACTCAGGAGTGTGACACGTGCGGGGGAATGATCCATCTAGAACCTCAGAGCCCGGCCTTGCCGGTCCATCCGTTGCCACCCGTTTGGATTGAGCAGAATCAGCCTTTTCTGCCTTGTGTGGCAGCCGCTTTTGGCTGAAACCAGGCTGGTAAATTTAAAGTGGAACCCTATGGAAAAGTCCTACAAACGTTCCTAAAGGAAATATGGAGCTGCCCTTAGTGCAGGCAGAGCAGCGCCCGCCCAAGCGACGTGGGTCCCTCCAGAGCCAGCTCTGCTCCCTTCTGATGCAGGAACCATCCTCGGGGGCTGGTCACCGTGGCGTGTTGGGGCAAAAGAGCTTTCCAAGCGTAGCTGGGAGGGAGGGGAAAAACCAGCTTGGAAATGCCCAAATTAGGGAGTGGGTTGGAGGATGCGGTTGCGTTGCCTCCGTCTGCCCAGCCTGGTACCGCGTGGGGCCCGGCCGGGGGTTTGTGCCTCGTGAGGTGACGCAGGACTTTTCCATGAGGGCAGGCAAAATACTCTGCCAATGCCAAAGGAATGGATCTTTTTTCCAAATCTTCACCGCGTGGTGGAGCGTAGGGAGCCTCCGAGGCGAGAGGTCAGGCAGCTGCTGCGTTCCTCCGTAGATTTGCCGTCTCTAGCACGTCTCCCCGTTGTTTGGGACCCTGGTAATTAAGTGGTAAGAAGCGATAGCATGACGAAGAAAGACTATTGACCCAATTGCACTTTGACTGATCTGTTTCTTTTTCCCCCCAATCATCGATGCAGGTGTGAGCTACTCCAAGTCGGTTCCTCCAGCCTACCCACCACCCCAGGATCCATTAAATCAGGGACAATACATGGTGACAGATGGCATATCCCAGTCCCAGGTCTTCGAGTTCACCGAACCCAGACGCAGCCAGGCACCATTCTGGCAAAACTTCAGCAGGTTAACACCATTCAAAAAATAATACCTAGAGAGATGGAGAATTTTAACTTAAAAGAACTCAAATTTAAAAATAAAAATAAATAAAATTATATTTATAGATGGACCTTTTTTCGGAGAAGCACTGTTGCAACTAAATATATATACATATATATATATACACACATTTTAAAAATAATAATATATATACATATATGTATATATATAGAAGGACCAAAAACTTTTTTTGTTGTTTTTGGGAAGCAATCTGCTACTAGATACTAGGAAGCACCAATGATTTCTAACCATATGACCTGTTTTATTTTATTCCATTGGTCGGACATCTTTTTATTATTATTATTATTATTATTATTATTTTCTTCTTCATTTTCATTCAAGTCGTCATTGGCATCCCAGAATGCTTTCTCGCTTGTGTGAATTCGTCATCGGAGTTCCTCATGGACTACATTGGTGTATATTTTATTTGATTTTATTTATGGGGGGGGGATGTTGTTTGTTTTTTTGGAGTGCCGGGAGGTCTCTGCTCCCTCTCCCTCCCTCTCCGTCCCTTCCTTGGCTGTCCCTGGAATTGTCATTTCAATGAAGAGCATCGACCCTTCCCCGTCCCGTCCTGCATCCTCTGCTCCGACTCGTGCCTGTCTGGATGTGCTCCCTTGTGCACCATGCTCTGCTGCGCAGTCTTTCTCTGGCTTTAACTGTTCTGTTGTGGGCAGGTGAAAACAAGCAGAGAGGGGGTACCAGCTATTTAGGAAGTGAGAGATGGGTTTTCCTCAGTCCAATTTTTTTGCTTTTTTTTTTAAGCACTGTCTTTTTCTCAATTCAGTGTGATTTGTTCACTGAGAAAAGAATATCAGGGGCTTTTATTTCTTTTGCATTTAGGTTTGGTTTGTTTTTGGTTTTTTTTTTCTATGGGATTATCTTTGATTTATTTTCTTTTTAAGCTCAGACACGACTCTGAAAAGCCCACTCCTATCTTTGTTTTCCATGCAAAGATAAAAGCTTAAAACCTGATGGCTTCACGCCCTCCATCCCAGCTAGAGGAAAATTGGCTATTAGGCTCCAACAAATGGCCAGTTTTCTTTCTTCAGGAACTAAGGTCCCATCCTGTTGGCCACGCTCCCGCCTGCACAGTCCTGCGTTAATGAACCACTAATTACCATTGAGAGGAGCAATGATCCCCAGAGTGAGGGCCAGCCCTGCCCTCACCGCCCTGTTGCCCAAGAGATGCCCGGCTTTGCTGGGGCACCGGCCGCCCAGGCAGAAGGCGAGCCACCGTGGCCACCCCATAGCAGCAGGATCATTGGGAGTATTTACCTGATATTTAAGGAGCTGCAGAGGAGTTGAGAACTTCAGGCAAGACAGGGAGGTGACCTGGGTTTAGCGTATGGCCGTGGTTACGTGACCTGATCTAAATCAGAGATGGGTTCAATCGAAACGGCGGCGGCCGGGGCGTATCAGTGTCCCTGGGCTCTCCAGGTCTCTTTCTCTCTCTTTTTCTCCCTCTGGAGATTCGTAGCTCCGTTTTCAAAGACACTTCCTACAATTTCAGCCTTAAGTACATGCGTTTGCAAGCGCAAAAGCTTATGTTTAAGCTTGTAAAACAGATCATTGTGCGCTGGGATGAGGTTTTTTTTTTTTCCTGGGGCAAATGAGACTGTTTAACCAGATTTGGAAGATGAACTTAAAAACTTTGCAGAGCTGTTCTGCAAGCTCCTTTGAAAATGTGGGATGAAGTGATTGATCACGGTATTTATCGTTTCCTTTTGAATCTGATACACCAAATAAGCACCTCAGGCCAACAGCCTGGAGATACATTATTTTTTTGTTCTCCCCTAAGAAATACAAGAGAACGGGAAGAGCCGAGAGCGTGATTTCAGTATTTCCATGGAGCCTGTTTTAATTCAGGGCATGTTCCAGGGCAGTGGCTGTGTTTTTTATTTAAGTACAGAAATAATCTCAGCACTTTTTAGTAAGCTAGAAACTATCAATAAACAGTAAAGCCAGGTGAGTGTTTGGAGAAGGGAGAGTGGCCCCTCTGTGACAGGCAGCAGCAAAACACCGGGAATCCCAAATAGGAGGCAACCCAATTTTATATCAGAACTTAATTTTTATGCTCTTTTGTATCTTTGCATTTTGATGGTCAGATTTGAATACTGAGTACGTAGCAAATATGATTTTGTTTCTTTAACAGAATGGGTATTTAACGAAGGGAATGAGTTGGGTTCTCAGAAGTTAACTGAAATGCTTTACTATTTCTGAATGGCTGGATAGGTGCAGAGAGAGAGAGAGAGAGAAAGAGAGAGAGATTACAAACTGTTGTCAACATGATGAAAATTTCACTTATTCCTTTGCCTTTTTAATTGCTTAGGGGAAAAAAAAAAAAAAAAGTAACAAGCACATTAGTTAAGCCTGTTCATTTACTGTTTTGTGCCTCAGAGAGTGAGAATGAGACATCCATAATTTTTATGAGAAGATGCTTCCTAAATATTCAGCACTAGGAAAAAAAAGAACCGCCACCGCCACACCATTATTTGCATCATAAATCAAGACTCGCTTGATCTGACAAGGCCACTTGTTGGACTCGCAGCTTCTTTCTTAACCGGAAAGCCAAAAGGAGCTAGCCTTGCTCGCGCTTGCCGCAGCCGGGCGGCCGGCAAAGCAGAGGCAGGCGCTGGCTCCAGAGGGAAGAGGGGCTTTGGCTCTCAGGCATGGCATTCAAGAAAGCTCTTCCCCTCCATAAATTGCCGAGGTGCTGCAAGAGATGGAGCACTGTCACAAAGAAGAACCAGCACCGGGTCCCACTTTCCCTCCCTGCGGTGGCTTTCCCGGTAGGGAGCGGGGCCGGGGGCGCGGGCGGCAGCGCAGACGCAGAGCGGGGGGATTTTGACCGAGCGTCTGATACAGACTTTTCATTTCACTGCCAGACAGGAGGAACCCACTTACCATCCCATACGCAGAAACAAGAGAGTTGTGACAAACTTAACATGTTTACGGTATTTCTCTGGCTGAATCTATATATATATATAAAAAAAAAAAAAAACAAAAAAACAAAAATACCCTCTTCCCTAGGTAAATGACATGCATTACCCCTTGACCTAGACACTAGAACAGAGGATCCAAATTCAAGACTTTCGCCTCCCCACCCTCTCCAAAAAGATCAAACAAGAACCAACCTAGGTGCATCTAACAGTTGTAAATAGAAAATAATACATAGAGAAATATATTTGAAATTTGTTTCAGTTTCTGGATGGTCACTGGCCGTCCATTGCAATGTTATTGATAGTACACTGTGGTGCTTTGGGTTTCTGGTTTTGTTCTCTTTATGCTCTGTCATCTTTTCATTGCAGCTACATTTCAGGGAACATGTATATTTAGTAGCTATTGTAAGTTCTGCATGGCATCACCGAGCTTATTTTTCCTTAAGAAGAAAAGAAGAGTCTGTAGGAGTTTAAAGGCACTATGACGACAGGGACTTGTAGCAGAGAATTTAAAAAAAAAAAAAAAAAAGGTTTTTAAAACTCTAGTTTGAAGCCAAATACTGATATTTTAGTGCTTTTGGGGTTTTAACAGTAAGAGAAAAAAAAAAAAAAAGAAAAAAAAAAAAGGTTTTTAAAACTCTAGTTTGAAGCCAAATACTGATATTTTAGTGCTTTTGGGGTTTTAACAGTAAGAGAAAAAAAAAAAAAGAAAAAAAAAAAAGGTTTTTAAAACTCTAGTTTGAAGCCAAATACTGATATTTTAGTGCTTTTGGGGTTTTAACAGTAAGAGAAAAAAAAAAAAAGAAAAAAAAAAAAGGTTTTTAAAACTCTAGTTTGAAGCCAAATACTGATATTTTAGTGCTTTTGGGGTTTTAACAGTAAGAGAAAAAAAAAAAAAGAAAAAAAAAAAAGGTTTTTAAAACTCTAGTTTGAAGCCAAATACTGATATTTTAGTGCTTTTGGGGTTTTAACAGTAAGAGAAAAAAAAAAAAAGAAAAAAAAAAAAGGTTTTTAAAACTCTAGTTTGAAGCCAAATACTGATATTTTAGTGCTTTTGGGGTTTTAACAGTAAGAGAAAAAAAAAAAAAGAAAAAAAAAAAAGGTTTTTAAAACTCTAGTTTGAAGCCAAATACTGATATTTTAGTGCTTTTGGGGTTTTAACAGTAAGAGAAAAAAAAAAAAAGAAAAAAAAAAAAGGTTTTTAAAACTCTAGTTTGAAGCCAAATACTGATATTTTAGTGCTTTTGGGGTTTTAACAGTAAGAGAAAAAAAAAAAAAGAAAAAAAAAAAAGGTTTTTAAAACTCTAGTTTGAAGCCAAATACTGATATTTTAGTGCTTTTGGGGTTTTAACAGTAAGAGAAAAAAAAAAAAAGAAAAAAAAAAAAGGTTTTTAAAACTCTAGTTTGAAGCCAAATACTGATATTTTAGTGCTTTTGGGGTTTTAACAGTAAGAGAAAAAAAAAAAAAGAAAAAAAAAAAAGGTTTTTAAAACTCTAGTTTGAAGCCAAATACTGATATTTTAGTGCTTTTGGGGTTTTAACAGTAAGAGAAAAAAAAAAAAAGAAAAAAAAAAAAGGTTTTTAAAACTCTAGTTTGAAGCCAAATACTGATATTTTAGTGCTTTTGGGGTTTTAACAGTAAGAGAAAAAAAAAAAAAGAAAAAAAAAAAAGGTTTTTAAAACTCTAGTTTGAAGCCAAATACTGATATTTTAGTGCTTTTGGGGTTTTAACAGTAAGAGAAAAAAAAAAAAAGAAAAAAAAAAAAGGTTTTTAAAACTCTAGTTTGAAGCCAAATACTGATATTTTAGTGCTTTTGGGGTTTTAACAGTAAGAGAAAAAAAAAAAAAGAAAAAAAAAAAAGGTTTTTAAAACTCTAGTTTGAAGCCAAATACTGATATTTTAGTGCTTTTGGGGTTTTAACAGTAAGAGAAAAAAAAAAAAAGAAAAAAAAAAAAGGTTTTTAAAACTCTAGTTTGAAGCCAAATACTGATATTTTAGTGCTTTTGGGGTTTTAACAGTAAGAGAAAAAAAAAAAAAGAAAAAAAAAAAAGGTTTTTAAAACTCTAGTTTGAAGCCAAATACTGATATTTTAGTGCTTTTGGGGTTTTAACAGTAAGAGAAAAAAAAAAAAAGAAAAAAAAAAAAGGTTTTTAAAACTCTAGTTTGAAGCCAAATACTGATATTTTAGTGCTTTTGGGGTTTTAACAGTAAGAGAAAAAAAAAAAAAGAAAAAAAAAAAAGGTTTTTAAAACTCTAGTTTGAAGCCAAATACTGATATTTTAGTGCTTTTGGGGTTTTAACAGTAAGAGAAAAAAAAAAAAAGAAAAAAAAAAAGGATTTTGGTAACCCAGCTGATCCGCACTTGCCAGTTTTATTATTTTGTTTATATTGGACTGTTTGACCCTGTCAAACAAGTGTCAAAGTTGTGTGTATAAAACAAAAACAAAAAAAAGTGTTTAAAAAAGTGTTGTAAAGACACTGAGCCTTATGAAAATATTTATGGAATTAAATAAAAAGAAGTGAAAAGGCATCTGAAGGCATTTTAAATCATTTTCCTCAGAGCGGTCTCACTCTTTTCCCAAAGGCTGAGCACGAGTCGCTGGGGTGGGGCTCCAGCTTGTCAGCAAAACAGACCCTAAACCTGTGGAGTGTAACCAAAAAATAGGTTTGTTCTCCAAACCTCCCACCTCCCCTTGCTTTGTGTCCTCCGTCTGAACCGGGCGAGATGATTAATGAGTAGCTGGAGGTTCAGCCCTGACAAAATACGGCCTCACGAGTGCTGGCAGGGGTCTCTCCAAGTGGGGCTCGGAGCGAGTCTTCTGCCAAACAGGGGTTTAAAATGCTTTCTTCTTCCTCGCCTTTGCTCAGCTCCAGCCCAGCCCTGAAGACAGACGAATTCTCCCAACTTCTAATCCAGCAGATCCCTTGGGAGCAGCGTAAGGAGCGTTTGGAGCCCGTGGCAGTAGCGCAGGGGGGGTGGGAGGGGAGGGAGCCCCTGGAGCAGAGCAGGTCCCTGCCCCGGCTGCCCCTCACCGTGGAGGGAGCAAAGTCCCACAGGGAGAAGGAACCCCTGAGAAGCAAAGTGCTCTCTGCAGAAACCCAGTGGCATTTCCCAGGTAAGGCAGGGCAGTGCTCTGTTTCTAGGCAGCCCAAGAACAGGGTTCCAGCCCAGAGAAGTGGGGTTAGCGTGGCACCCAGAGCCTGTAGCCGTTGGGAGTCATCATGTGGAGAAGCACATGGCCACCTTCCAAGGTCCTCCAAATAACTATGGCCAAAGAGCTGCGTTTCCAGTGACGACGCTGACTCTGCTCTTTCCCCTCCGTCCCCCTGGGCAAGGGATGGCAGGTTCTGCTGGTCCGTGCACCGGCCGCATCCTCAGCCCATGCCCATTGGAAAGCAGTCAGCTGGGGGGGTTAAACCGTGCCAAGGGCAAGCAGCTCTGCCCTGGGAGAGGAGAGGGATGGGGCAGGGGCAGAGCTGTGGCACCAAGGCTTCTGCAGGGCCAGAGTTTGCGCAGGCTGAGCCAGCCCCCAGCATCGCAGCTTCACATCTGCCTCCTGCTTCAGCGCTGGCCCAGGCCAAGCTTTTTTATTTTTTTCCTCTTGCTTCCATTATTGCTTGCGGTGAAGATGAGGTTGGTGCCGTGCTGGGCTTCACCTCGCCAAATGATCCTGTTTCTCTTGTAGCTCCAAACCTAAGTCCCTCCGGAGGGTTGGCACAGGCTGTTTCCAAAGTCTGCTGCTGGGGAGAGCAGACCCAAAATGTAGTTGCTTACAAAAACCTCCTCTTGAAGAACATCTCTTCCACCCACACCACTCCTTTGGGGGCCAAAATAGTTGCTGGCCAGAATTTTGCTCTGCCCTCCGAGTTTGCAGACGTGAGCTGTGGGGTCAGGGAGAGCACGAGCCGTTGCCCAGGGTGTGTAATGTCCCAAAAAAACCAAAAAAGCCCTGACCAAGAGGGACTGGGGAAGAACATCAGTCCCCCAGCATGTGGTGAGCACCACCAAGGCTTGCTCAGAAGCAGCGATGACCTCTATGGCCCTGCAACATGCTCCCAGCCCAGCTCACTGTCCCAGCCATGGCCAGGGAGAAGGGCATTCCACTGCCAGGAACATCACTGCAGCTTGTAGTCAACTTCTGTGTTTCATTTATTTGGTGACAATATTGGTTTGGTTTTAGCTCTCTCCAGCCACCCAGCATCCAGCCAGCCGCTGTGAGCTTCGGTTGCATAAGACAAAAACCAAAACCAAAGAAACCCAGTTTAAAGTTAATTTTTCTTGTGGGGTGCTAGGTTCCTCGGGCTGTATTTCTAGAGAACAGACCAAACCGACCCTCCGTGGTCGCAGCAGGGGCTCAGCAGGACAGACGTGGCCTGATGGCTGAGGCCTTGACTCAGAAATTCACTTAAACGCGTGCCCAAGTCCACCATTTTGCACCAAAGTTTTTATTACGTACACATGGAAGTGCAGGACTCGGGCCTCAGAATGAACGCTGATGAGTAGGGAAATGCCTTAGAATGAACATCGCCACTGAGGCTGCCTGTTTTCTGGTGGTCTGTGGTGCCTCCCACCGAGCCGTGAGGCTTGAGGGCACTTTGGTGTGTGGGACCCCCGAGTGGCGCTGGGCTCCGTGGGCAGCGTGGGGATGGGCAATGGGACGAGCAAAGCTTTTAGGCTGATGTTTGTGACATGACAGGAATGTTGTACGAACAACTCTGAACGTCAAAGCCACCTCTGTTTTATCTGTGTGTATAGCCGTGGTATTACAGCCCAACTTTTAAGGAATCAGACTTTGGATCTGGCCTATGGTGCTGGGATTACGATCCCCATCTGCCTCAAACGCTAAATTCCCTTGTTATTCTGTAGCTGAGAAGCAGCACCAGGTTTTGCACTAAGCTCAGGGATGGGGCAGCATCCTCCGAGGCACGTCATGCACTGTCTGTGCTGGGTTATTGAGGAAGAGTCTGGAATTGGGTGTTGCTGGGGATGCAGCGAGAATAACGGGCATTTTTGAGAGCGTTTCTAAGCACAGTCCACCAAGGACTGCTAAGGAAGGACTAACTGTGGATGTAGTCTCCCCAAAACTGCAGCTACAAGTTGTAAAACTGTGTGTGTTTCTCTGAATCTCCTACTTTTGCTATGGAAAAGAGAGATAAGGTATTTCTTAAATGCTTTTAATGTTCACATCCTTTTTCTTTCCAGCTCTCTCAAGGCAAAAAAAAACCCCTGCATCCTGGTGAAGATGTGCACTTTCTCATTTCAGAGCCACAGTAATGTGTTACCTCTGGCAGGTTTGGCAGGGGCTCTGTGCTCAGACCTTGCCACAGACCAAGCCACGCAGCAGCAATGGCTCAAAAATCTTCCCTGTCCTGCCCCACAGCATCCCCCCTTTCAACACCCCAGCCAAAGCCAGCCTGGGGTTGCGGGGACACACAGGGACTTCGCTTTTTCAGTCCAGGCTACAACAGCAACCACAACAAAAAAAAATCTCCAAGACAAGAACACTGATTTTTTAACTTTTTCATAT